AGAGTCATGTCAGCGAGGGTATGGCTCAGGGACCCTAGTAAGCAGAGTCATGTCAGCGAGGGTATGGCTCAGGTACGGCTCACATACTTTGCATTGGAACATCGCCAGGTCAGGGTAAGGCTCAGGTATGGCTCGGTTCTTGGTGGAAAAGCACCAAATTCTCGACTCCCCCCCCCACCCCCATTATTCCTTACTAATCATTTTTCATAGTTTCCAATAATTCTGTGTTGATAGGAAAATGGTGGCACTATATGCTCTGTTTATGCAAAGCTTTGGCGAAGAAACAAAATGTGGTGTACTGATGGTCGGCCTCACTTTGGATCTAGGGGGACCTCAATGGCCGGAAGGGCCTAGTGCCATCAAACTTCCTGCAGGCTCTGCCTGAGGAAGAGGAGGGGGCAGATGGGAGTGCAGCGCTGGATGCAAGAAAGTCTGAAAGCAGGCAGGAGTTCCAGGTAGGGCGCCCCCCAGTGGCCCCAATGTGGTGTGATGGAGTGATACCTAGATATCTTGGTTTATACTGAAAAGTTCCTGTTTCCCTGATTTCAGTTTGAGAGCAGAGCTGAAGCTACACCAGGTACAGCTGTTCAAGAAGAACATTTGGTAAGCCGACCAGGAAAGACATTATTCCGACCAGGAAAGACATTTGGTTATATAACCAGGAAAGACATTATTCCAACCAGGAAACACATTTGGTTATATAACCAGGGAGGACATTATTCCAGCTGGCAAAGACATTTGGTTATACAACCGGGAAAGACATTATTTCAACAGGGAAAGACAAAAGGCGCTTTCTCATGTAAGAACTTTTTTTCAGAACCAGGACTTTTTTTCGAAACCGGGAATTTCCGTTGTGTTCCAACTGCAGGAACTCAGACCGATCTGCAGTTCTTGGTGGTAAATCCGGAAGCCTTTTTGTCCCGTTTGGACCGTACGATCAATAACGCAAAAAAAAAAACCAAAACAATACTCATTCATCCTCCATTATTTTGCAATGGCTTTGTAGTTTAATAGGTAATTAATGTGAAGTTTAAGCTACAAGCTTTTTACGTCTCCCGTGCTTATTTAGCATGCATAGTTATTGCTGTGTGGTATGAAAGCAATACACAAATGTGGCCAGGAACTACAAGAGTTCACGGTTGAGACAGCCCAGGAACTTCGAACCAGGAACTAGGTTTCTGATCTTCAGTGGGTCAGTGCCTATTAGGGAGAAAACATTAGGGAGGGAAACAGGGAGAGACATTAATCCTACTGGGAAAGCACTCATTAATCCAGCAGAACGTTCATTGCTACTTCTCATCATTACATGAATCATCCATGCTGCCTGTCTGTCTGCACTCTGTCTGCACTTGTTTTTTTTTCCCTTTCTTTTTGCATGCTGATTTTTCGTGTCACCCCACACGTCCTGTCCTCCTCCGTACCTGGGCGTCCTGTCAGAGACCTGGGTGGGACGGGCATTCCAGCCATGACCTGTAACTGTAAGTTCTCCTGATGGACAGAAGTGACCAGCAGAGGGCGCTGGGCTAACCCAGCCACTCCATGGCTCCTGGCAGACCGGCTCTCAATGTGGGGCCTTATGCTGCGTTCCGTTTAACTCGGAGGTCAAAACTCAGAACTGGGAATGACGTCACATACGAGTTAAGTGTTCCAGTAGAGAAAGTCTGAAAGCCATTTAGCAGTATGGCTCAGGTACCCTAGTAAACAGGGGGACCCGTCTCAAAAAGCAAGCATTACCTGGCTAATTAGTCAGATCACATTTACCCCAGTTCACTTGCAGTTCACTTGCATTTAGCCCAGACTACCATAAATCCGACAAGTTGTCCACTTAAACAAGAAATCCTCCCAGTTCTATTCTGGTCAATTGTTAGCTAGTGTTGGCAATCTGTGGGTAACAACACATTACGCGGTGTTTTGTGTAGCGACACGTCCAAAGAAGACGTAAATGCTAAAAAACAGTATGAAACTATTGCTTTCATTTCTGTTGATAAAGGGCGCAGGCATCTTGAATTCTGAGCTCGGGGTCGTTGTCGAGTTTGCGAGTCGGACTTCTGACTTCAAGGGCCGTTACAGTTGAAATTTTCGACTAGGAACATGGAATTTACGAGTTAACAGTTCAAATGGAACGCAGCATTATTTCCCAGAATCCATGGTAGACAAACCTACTCTTCATGCAGGGCCGCATATCCCAGAATCCTTAGCAGGTGGACATGCTCTTTGTGTGGGGCCCTACTTCCCAGAATCCTTAGCAGGCGGACCTGCTCTCTATGCAGGGCTGTATTTCCCAGAATCCTTAGCAGGTAGACCTGCTCTCAATGTGGGGCCCTATTGCCAGAATCCATGGCGGGAGGACATAGTCATAAAGGCCGCAGATGGTGGTCGCATTATAATGGACCAGGATCTCTGCTGCTATCAGCCATGTTGATAATTGCTTCCACTTTTTTAGATGTGATTAAAATGTGTGAACATGAAGGGCTGTAAAAAATGGAAAGATATTGTTCTTTTTTTGGAAATTAACCAGCCCCTCCTCAAGACCCCCAATGTTCCACAGGCCAGTAAAATACTGGACGCAAACCAGTACCAGACTGGGGATTGGGAACCTTTAACATAGACGACACCAGCAACCCCCTTATAAAACACTTACACTTAACACCTTGTCCATCCCTCTGGGAAAGTGCGAACCCTTTGGGATTACCTCGATTTCCGCATGAGACCCTCCTGCCCTGAGATCTGATCTTCATGTAAGTGGAGCAGGCAGTCTCTGCTCATTATTACTACTTGGATGGATGAAGGTTTGGCCACATTTTTGAAGGCCTTTTTGCAGTATCTTTCCTCCCAATGATGTTGTTATGGAGAAACGTAGAGGATGAGCGCTCTCCCTGTAATCACACCTGTCTACTGCCCTATTTCCACCGGACTCACCCCCCGCCCCCACCCCCCCCTTCACTCCAGGTGACCCCGGCGGCCCTGGAGGCGCGGGCCGAACCACAGGCGCCAGCACCGCAGGACTCCCCCGTCCCAGAGCAGCCGGCCCCCAGCTCCGCCCAGCCCCAACCGGCCCCCACGGAGAGGGACGCCTCCCCCATGGGCAAGAAGAAGAAGGGCTTTTTCTCTAAGGGCAAGAAGCTCTTCAGGAAGCTGGGATCCAGCAAGAAGGAGTGAAGAGTGGGGTTGGGGCGTCAGCGAGAAGGCAGGACCCCCCCAGCCACCCTGGGACGCATGTGTGAATGAAGTGTCACTCAGACGCGATCACACTCTCTGGCCCTCACAGAGGTCCCACAGAGTTCCGCTACGTAATCATTCATTGGCAGGCATTACCTTTGCTTTCCAGAAGCACACGCAGAAATGCAGCAGCTTAGCTTTCATAAACGCTTCATAACGTTCAACATTAGCCGGAACGAATATCAAAGCCGATTCCTAACCGAGGCTTGGTGTCTGTCAGAAGCTTCATGTTTGTCTTGCGTCTCTCAATAGATAGAAGACCTGAAGGGTAATGAACACACTGACAGGACTAATAACTTAATAAACACCACCACAGATTTTAAACTTCGTTTTACATACTTCCCCACACACGTGGATGGACTGCTGGTTTTTTTATGATGACCGTGCCGGTTGGAGATGGGCTTGCGTGCTCTGTTGGGGGTCATTGGTTCAGGCGCTACAGGAGGGCTTTACAGCAAAGAGCTTTTAACTCGCCAGGTGCGCGTTGCATGTTTCCTCTCAGAGGCATTTTGTTTTCCTTCCTCTTAGACGTCGTGTCAGTGTGCCTCTCTGTACCGCTGTTTTCTCTGGGACCTGCCAGACCAGGAGTCCTCAGGCCCCCGTTAGCGTCCCCTTCTTCAACGTTTAAAAAAAAAAAAATCTAAACTTACTTTTTTTTTTTTCCATTTAAAAAAAAAAAAAAAAAGTATTTAAATTTAAATGTTGGACTATGGTTCTCTTGCTGTAACTGGCCTGGTTGGGTGTAGAGTAACATTGGGGCGTCCTCACGCAGGACGCGCTGCGGCCTTTCCGCTGTGCCCGCACTCTGACGTGTCGCGTGACGTCAGTATGCACTGTCTGGCTGATGCCTCCACCCCCCTTAGATGGAATTGCTGCCTTTTTTAGGCTGGCTCCGTTTTAGGAGTGTGGTCTCATCATCCTTCTAACAACCTTTTTTTCCCCCATTTTCAAACTCCGCAACTGATCGGTTAATCGATTGTGAGTCAATGACTCTGCCCTTTAACCATTTTTATTTGATTATGTGCAGCAAAAAGTTACAAGAATCCGTGCCCCCTCTTAACTGATTGTGTATCTGAGGCAGACAAATGTACATCCAGGAAGTGGCCAAAGATTAAATGATTTTTCTTTGGTTTCGTTCTTTCTCCCTCATACTTCTTGACTACAGGGCTCTTGAAAACCCGGCTTGCAGGGTCACGTCTCCATTTACCCGCCAAATGTCGGGAGATCCGCCCACATCACCCTCCAGTGTGAGAAAGAGGCCCGTCTAGGCTGGCAGAGACTGAGCCAGGACTGTGTGTGTGTTTCTGTGATGGTTTTTCCCTTTATTTTACTGAAGTCGACATGGACGGCCAGTCGCATTAAGTATGAAGCTTGAACTTGCGTACGGGGCAGAAAAAAATGCACTTTGAGCTGATCGACAACGTGAAATGCAGGCGTTCTTTGGTTTGCGATGGCCCCTGCAGGTCTGTGGAATGGCAGGCGGTTTTTGCGATTCTAGGTCGGCGGCTCGCCTCTGTTAGCTAGCTGACACTCCACATGGCACTTTGTCACGTGCTGTTTACATGGCCGCATGGACAAGCCCATCATTTGCCTTATTTATTATATTTATGTATTTATAGCAGGTATCTGGCAATTTTATTTAGTTTTTTTAAGTTTGCTTGATCAGTGCAACGGCAGCCCGCTGGGTAACACGCATAATGTGCTTTTTATGAGGATGAAGGAGCGCAGGGTTTCATCCATGCCGTGTATGTTCTCTCTTAAACAGTAAGTCTGATTTTTTTTTTTTAATTATATGAATACGTATCAAGGTTTTTATAACCTGTTTTGAAATCTCACCTGTAAATAAACCTTTTGTTATTGCACGTTTTCTTCAGTGTCTGTCCTGATGCAGTCGGTGCAAAAAGGAGTCTTACTGTCAAGTGTAGGAAGCTCTGTCACCGATCAGTCTTTTTACAGGAATAAAGTCTATTTTCACAAATCATGTGATGCCATTGCTTTTTATTGCCCCGAGGGATTCGAAACGGTGGTCCGTGGCTTGGACATGAACTGGAATTACCTCTCTGGCCCAGTATGAAACTTGAAATGAGTGTTGTATAGATGTGAAACGGGAGATGTTCCTAAACAGAAGCCACCGCCCGGTGTGGGTGTGAACCTGCACTCCGCCATCTTATCAGCCATGAGATCTGCGTGAAGCCCCCCCCCCCCCCCCCCCCCCCCCGGGCTTTTGCCATTATGGAGATAAGGTGTGCTGTTCTCAGCCCTGTACTGCACAAAGGGAACCCCCCCCCCCTCCCCGAGTGCCCTAGCCCCCTCCACAAAAGACGCAGAATGTAATCGCTTCATTTATTTTATTTGTCATCACAGAAACAGACAGCATACTTTATTATGTTCTGATGGTACAGAAGGGCTGGCGAGAACGTGTGTCCTTTTGTGCGTTTGTGGGCCGCCGAGGTCTTCAGCTTTGTTTTGTCCTGCGTAGCCAGCTTATGTGAATCTCAGACGGCAACACCATGAGCTGGCTACACGCGTCGAAGACAAAGCATGCTCCTCTGTCGCCCCCTGGCTTCCGATGGCCGCCGTCACTCTGTCACCGTAGCCAACAGTACAGTCATCCATAAAGTAGGAAACACTACACTGTGTCGAGGAGTTTAGTAGTGCTTTCTACTTTATGGATGACTGCACTGTACTTCTGAGGCTCCTGCTACTCCCGCTGTCTGCCGTTTTCTCCGGAAGCTTCCAGAAGGATCCAAACTCACAAGTCCAAGTCACAAATTAAACAGTACCATGTTTTTTTTTTTATAAAAAAGAAAAAATATTAAGCAAGTCTAGATGGAACGTGGCTGATCGGCCATCGATAGAAAAATGGCTTCCGGGTAGAAGGTGCGCTCCATTTTAAGGGCAGCAAACCAGGAAGGATGTTACTCAAGGCCCTCTCTCTGTCACTTACAACACCGTCTGCATGGGGAAAGACGGCAGAACGTTCTGGCACTTTCTATGACGCCCAACCACTGTTTCCTTTCAGTTAAGATAAGTGAACAGATGTTTGCTTTAGAAATGACAAAATGCTTCTAAACTATCAGTTTTCTGCAGCATATTTCACACAAGACGTTTCCAAAGATACCTTCTAAGCATCCAATCCCTCCCCCACAAAATGGCGTCAACAGATACATCTCAAAAAAAGGTAACAGAAAGGAAATCTGCTATAACCCATCAAATAAAATGCTTGCTTGCTTTACAAAAAAAGAGGCATTTGCTGGTTTGCAATACAAGCAATTCTTTTCGCCAAACCCTGACTCCAGATCAGTGTCACAAATGTTACATTCGGACAAGGCTGTCTTCTGAAGAAGAAGCCATGTTGTTCATAATGACCAAGCTTTTTTTGGTTACCATACTGCAGAAGGCAGGTGTTTTCCAAGAATTTCTCCTCTGCTCGAGTAAGTCAAATACAAATATTGAAATACTTGGCTTAAACATTTGCTCTATATTAAAAGTGCAACTATATTTACAATAAATTGATGAATCGATCAATTATTTCCAAAACCTGACATAACTTGCAATAAAAATGTCATTTTTCTAAATACATAGTTTTTTTTTTTTATAATTTTTATCAAATCTGTGAAAAGAATTGTAATTAAATAGTTTTTTTTTCCATTTATTTAAATTTATGACAGTGATATTCATAGTTATATTAAAACGAAAATTGTTAGCTATATATGCACTATAACATTTTTTGTTCAAATAAAAATTTCCATATTACAAAAAAAAAAAAACCCAAAATAGACATTTATTAATCTTTCTTGTTTTCTATCAATATGGACCTAGGTGCTGATCTTACCGGGGGGTGTCTGCTTCATCCAAAGCGAAATGGGGCTCTGAGGCAGGACCTGTCCCTTTTTAACCCTCTCCGGGCCACGTGGTGTTAACCACAGGAAGAGGTTTAACAGTCGCGTACCATAGGCAGACAAGTCCTCACGCCCATCGCTGGGCCTTGCTGGAGCCTGAGCAAAAACTGAGAGCGCGTCTCCCTTTTATGGGCATGGAGTCCATTTAAACGCAATGACAGGGACCGGCACTCTCCTCACCTACTACGGTTTCAATAGGACCTTGTTACTGTTAACCGACGACTTAACCTTGGCTTACAATAAGCTCCATCCAAGAGCCAAAGGAGAGCATTTAAGATATATATCATTTTTCATTATTACATAATGTTGATTATTGATATGAAGCTGCTGCATTTGACCAGCATTGCCCTCCTGATATTAAAACTTATTTGTGTTTGCTCATGGTGGAAAATTGAGGGTTTGTAGAAGAAAGGCTTGGCATGAAACATCAGAAAAAGGAAACAGGAAAAAGGCTTTTTACTTTCAAGGGCGTACTTTTGGTGGTAGTTTGCCACGTATCCTTGGTTTTAACTATATAGATTTTATCTGATGGTGGATATAATGTTGGCTTTGGAGGTGAGAAATCAAAAGTATATTGAACCTTTTTTTAGACTTTTTTGCAAGAATATTTTGTGCCCCCCCGCCCCCCCCCCAGTGATTTTTCGTCCATCTTTCACAAAATAGCTGAAAGCACCTGCAGCCCGGGCGGCTGTTTCCAAACTGCTGCAGAGTGCATCGCTTCACATTGCAACATGTGCAGTGGCACTAGATCGCTATCGCAGGGACCGGCTCAGATGGCGGTCGGCTCCACTCACAGCGTCGCATACACACC